GGACGAACTTTGAGTATTTTCCTTTCAATATTTTTCTAAAAAATCTCAGGTAATTTGTGTGTTGCTTAGTCTTGCTACCAAAAACTTAATAAATATTTATAGACAAATAAGCTAACCAGAAACCTAAAATTAATTTTCAATAGGAATTAGTTTGCTTATTCTAATACAACTCTTATATTTGGAAGATTTAAAATTATTTGTAGCATAAGTCTCTCATGTTTTGAAATAAATATAATGTTTTATCTTTCCTCAAGCATCTACCCTGCTGCTTGATAGATACCAAAGAAAATTGGTCGGAAGGGCATGCTAGGAGCATTAGTTTTTTTCTTTTTGGTAAAGAAAAATTCGGGTGTTTTCAATTCAAGTCATCATTACAGGAAAGGACATTACTTAGAACAAGCATACATTCTTACCAATTTAGCCAACATGAGTTGGTTGCTAGAAACATTAATTAATGAAGAGAATGTAAAATCAAGCTTTTGTCCCAAAAATAAAAAAAAAATAAAATAAGTTTATTATTCTCCAGATCCGTTGTATCAATTGATTGCATTTGTGTCATATTTGGATGTACTTACCATCATTAGTGCAGATACTGGAATAAAATTACCATTTTTATCAAAAAAGAAAAAAGAAGTCGTGCGTATTAATTTGTGGTCGGAATGTATATAATTTGATCGTGTACATTTATGAATACAAATTTTAAAACATTAGTACTTCTGTCCTTTACAATGAGTCGATTAACCATAAGCTCTTTTTATTAATTAATCATAGGCTGGCAGTCCATTTCCCAACTCCTCCTAACGACTCAAAAAGTAAAAACTAAAAAGTCAAAAGGACATTCATAATAGAAAAATTGAAGCACGGCTCTTCTGATTTGAAAGAGATTTTGCGGAGGAAAGTCGATGATTAAATGAACAATTTCTGAACAGTTTGATCAAAGAACCATCTTCCTTTCAGCAGCCTTGCACAAACTACTTCTTCAGGAAGTAGTTTGTTTGCATGGAGCTACTCAAATAGGAACAATCGCAATGCCAGTTCCTTACACACTATATCCTTCAAATGATTATATCAGAATTTAAACGAAGCATGACTGCAGAACAATGAACGAGTTTCCCAATCGAGATCTAGCTTTTAGATTTAGGAAATGCACAAATAAAGCTAAAGCACTAGCAACTGCAGGGTGTAAAAAGCGAGCATCCACCAAAAATAACGCAAAGGTATCAATGATGTCCCGATCCCAGTAGTATCCGAAACCAATCACACGTTCATATACATAGTCACGAAGGTGAAGGTACTGAAAGGATGGCCCTGGATTCCAGCCTGAGCTCTCAAATAAATAAGTGTTTATACGCCCCGTTTGCAAGCTGACAAATATGGTTGTAGCCTTGGGTATCTGGAAAAACCAAAAAATAAGCAGATCATAAACATGAAAGCAAAAGCTTCATTTAAGATGGGCATGGTTTTCTACAATCATAGTGGTGATTAAATAATTGTGATAATAAAGTACAAACTCATGATGGGCATGGTTCAATTTTAAATCGAAGGGATGAGATTAAATTTGGAACACAAATTCAATGGAAGGACAAAATTTGTTATATATGTATGCTATTTTAGTGTCTATATTTATTATTTATTTTTTAAGAGTGTTTCTTGAATTTAGGGTTAATTATTTTTATCTTTTGACCATTTTAACTAAACTTCCTAGTATTCTTTTTTGTCTTTGATTCCCTTTTCCTTATTCTCATTTCAGCAATAAAAGAACCACGCAACAAGCGTAAGGAGATACAATTTTTTTATTTGTTGTATAAATTGAAGGTCTGAAATCTGAAATCTTCCACTTACAATTTCTCCTCTTCTACCACTTAATCCATTCCTTCTTCCCACACAACCAGGTACTTTGTTACCCATATGTCAAAATACAATTTATATAACTAAAATACTCTAGCTGATTGCAAACACTTTTATTAGTATTGATTCAATTTGTGTACACGGACAACATGTGCTAGACATCAAGGCATCAGGAATTCCATATTTCCACAACAATTGCTGGGTGACAATTGACAAATACCTGCTAGTCTTTTGATTATTTATGAAGAAGACAAATCAATTCCTACAACCACCCCCCCCTCCAAAAACCAAAAAAAAAAAAGGACAAAATAAACTCTTTTGTCTCTTCATGATTGAATCAATTTGGATACGAAGTCTTTAGTGTTTTCATCTGAACTTCCCCCTTCTTCAAGAGCCTGTCTTGCCAAATCCTTCCACTTTTTTGCATTTTTCCTAATCTCTTGTCCTATCTCCCCCTCCATCACTATGCTTATGCATTGACCAATGACATCTCTTCTAACAATTCCATTTTCATCTGGCTGAGCCTTGATTCCCATTTTCCAAATGTCATTTACAAACTTGGCATTTGTGCTTTGATCTGTCCATTGTGGCATTGCTATCATCGGGACTCCCAAACTTAAGGCCTCCAATGTTGAATTCCACCCACAATGTGTTATAAAGCAGCCTATAGATTTGTGGGCTAAAACGTCAAGCTGAGGACCCCATGAGATTATTAGTCCTTTGCCAAATGTTTCTTTAACAAAGTCTTTTGGCAGCTTCTTTGACTCTGATTCTCTAACCACCCAGAGAAAATGATAGCTGCTAGCTCTCAAGCCCCATGCTAATTCTTCCATCTGCTTAACTTCAAGTTTTGCCAAACTTCCAAATGATACATAAACAACTGAATTGATTGACCTTTCATTTAGCCATGACATGCAAGCATTAGTCATTGGCTTAAAAAGATTGAGACCATATTGCTTGTCATCTTCAAGGCGCTTTTCTAAGTACATGGATGGAATAGTTGGTCCAATTGTCTTTACCGGTAGGATTTTTGCCATCCAGTGAATCACCTAAGCAATATGTAATACAAAACCAATAAAATTCATAGTAGTAGACAAAATGCCACTTTTTCAGTTTTTAGTTAACAAACACCTAACTGGCATGGTCATTCAGGACTTAGGTTCCCGACTGTAATATGTGTAGGTATTATTAGATTTATTGGCCGGAGGGAATCTTGATCTAGTGCTTAAAATTCAGCTCTCAAAAATTAGAAATCTTAAATTCAAATTCTCCCTCTCCCTCCCGGGCTTCTTAAATCTAATAATTTCCCTATTAAAATAAGAAAATAAAAAAAAAGACGTATTGAAGTACGCTTACCTCTTCCTCCAACCCGTAAAATGTGTTGAAAAAGATCCAGTCAGCTTCTTCAAAATTTTCGATTTGGTCATGTACAAACATCTGTGTACTTGCTGGATATAGACCAGGATTAGACACAAAAGAGGGCAGATCTGAAGCTAATAATGGTGGCAAACCGGGAATGTCCACTCCACTCTCCTCTAGAGGAAGCTTCAAAAGTCCTTTGTGGACATGGTTGTAGATGTTATTGACAGCACAGGATTGAGTGAAGAACACACCCGCACGTACGCCAAGATCCTTGGCTACATCTAGACACCAAGGCAAGAATGCATCATAAATGATACAATCAACAGGACGGCCCGAATCTTGAAGCTTCAAGACTAGCTCAGTCAGAGTTTCTGAGCCAACCTTTTGAAACCTAGGAAAGTATATTTCCATTGCAATTCCATTTGCTCCCTCATCATATCCATCAGAGATGGTCTCCACTGAGATAGAAGCTGAGACTTCACCCACGGTTTCAAACAAGAACTTGGTTGTAGCAAACGTGACTTTGACGCCCTCATGTTGCAGACGCTTAGCAAATTGGAGCATTGGGTTTATGTGACCTTGGACGGGATATGGCAATATCAGGCAATGAGCTCTGTGAGTTTCCATCAATTGCTATAACCAAGAAATTTGAGTATGCAATGTTTGGGGTTCCACAACCTTTGCATAGCACTTGTAGCAGAAAACAGGACATTAGAATTTAATATAGCGCAGTAGGCGGTGCTGTCCATCGCTATGGACCAATGGAAAGTTGGAATATTTTAGATTATTTTCATTGAACATTGTTTGGAAAAGTTTTTATAATAATATTATAGTATTTTTTTTGAAATGCAAGATATATTATACTTAAAATTGGTTGAAAAATTAAAAGATTTTAAAAAATGTGTTTATAATACAACATAAAGAAAATTTTCAAATAATTTACTATTCAAACACACTAGTAAAAACCTTTTGGAGCGGTTGCTTCCTTGCCGCTATTTCAGAGAACAATGGCTATTTTTATAAATTACAATCTTCAAATTAGCTAACATCTAATAGCTATTGATTGGATCAGGTTGGATTCTTCTCAATCGGTACTAACACAACAAATGTCGACATTTAATAAGAAATCAACGTTGATCTTCTCCTTTTATCAATCTAATCAGAGGTAAAGAATTCCAACCACGTCTCACTACAACAAAAATGGCCTTTAGAGGCATTTAAAAGTGTCAGTATAGATAATCTAACCTGACATTTTATCTATCCTCACACCTAGGGCGAGTGTTGTCCCTTCCAATGTGGGGATAGCCTCAAATCTTTAGCAACATTCAAACGTGTCCGGAAAACCATGCTGCTATAGCATTCCCTCTGCCAACAAAAACTTTTTTTTGTGATAATCGAAAGTGTCCGTATAGCATTAGAACATCAGTAGCGGATCAGTAGTATATCCAATTTATGAAGGCATCTTTAGTTGTCTTAATATATGACTTTAAGGACACGTAGCCATGTGAATTTACACTGCTTTGGACGACATGCCCATTTGTCATTAGTGTTTTTCGAAGCTAAGCTATGCTGACACTTTTAATTGCCAGGAGTTTTTTCCCTGTTTTTTTTTATATGGAAGCAACCTGCAATTAGTCCTCCCTGCTGTACATTCCATCAACCAAAATCCTAAGGGACTTGTAAAATTATCTCAAAGAGCAGAATGCATATAGCAATTTAAAAGAAGAAGTCGATACTCAAATATAATTCATTGAATTAAAAGTCGATAACAAGTACAAACATAGCAATTACTAAAATCGCAAACAAGTGCTCAAAGCAAGTACTAAAATCCCAATAAAGTACCGAAAGATTCTCATTTACAATAACTTGAAAGACTTTCTTGTGCACAAACAAAAAGACTCTCATCCCTAACAAGTTGAAAGAAATGCTAAAAGTCAGGTAATGTAATTGTACAATATTAGCAACGATCCGCGAGAGGTATAGTATATATATAGTACATTGTTTGGGTTCCTATAAAGCAGGATATTAAAACCGAGCAACCCATACCATCAGCAAACTAATCAAAGTGAAGTCAGCTCCATGAATTTCTGTCTAATGTGATAATTGTTTGCACCAGTAAAGTACTTTACGGGCATTTTCTTTGAACATAAGAAGTTCCATGTTCCTCAAACCTGTTAATCGAGAGATAAAACAGACTGAAAATGGGGAGAAAAAAAGAAAAAAAGTTGAATATTGAAAGGTAGAGTGGATGTAAAAGCTTACTCAGATTTTGAAAACCACATTTGCTGAAAGGAACCAAGTGCCGCCAATATACTCCCACCTATCCAAACACTGAATGCGACAGGTTAGTCAACAATGCATGGCACTGGCATGCAAAATTACTTCTTGCTACAAATGAATAAAGCTAGCTTAGATTCTGCCCACAGGCAAGGGCTTAGAAGTGAAACCAGTTAACTTGATTAACACCTTCTTGGTATAATGCCAGAGGTTCAGCATCGTTTGTAACTTCATTAGAAACTATTGTCATATGCATATTTGGCCAAAGTTTTCATAGAAACAGATACTCATTCAAAATAGATAGCAATTTCACATTTAGTGCTTCAAACATTAGTAGAATCATAATAGAAATGTATGGCTTACCTTAGCCAGAAGATGAAGACCATGTTCAATAAGTATGGAAACAGCAATCGAGATGAAACAAACAACTACCACTGCCCATGTTGATGTATGCTCAAGAGTTGTCTCCTCATTTCCACTTCCTTCAGCCATCTCTAGGTGGAGCAGTCCGGCTATGCTTTAGTAGAGGTTAGTGCCAATCCTTCAGAAGAAGAGAAAACAGCCGAGAAATTGAAGGGATGAAGAAAAGTGTATCCAGTGATCTGGGGAAACAGAAATTTTTTTTCCAATTCTTGAGCATTTGAGATTGGAAAATGATAGGAAAAAAATTGCAACAATAATAATAGAATAACACCCCAGGAAATAGTTTGCGTTCAAGCAATTCAACCTACTGGAAATCATGTCATGCTAGAAATATAGCCTTTGGTCTATCAAATGCTATGGAAAAAATTATAGATATTGGACATAACTATGTACTGCAATTTCCTACTTGCAGTTCCATCACTATTGAGAGCAGTCCTCCTTCCTTTGCAAGGTCCACATTATATGGGACTTCGTAGTTCTTTGAAGTTGCTAGTTTTAACTGGTGAAGTTTTGCACCTATCCCTATGTGAGAGTTTGCTGAAGCTATTGCCCCATACTGCTATCTTGAACTTATACGGGAGTACAGAGGTTAGGAAACTTAATTGTTGCTACTTATCAGATGCCACCAAGAAAGCTATATCTTCAGTGCTTTTTGGTTTTGCTGTTACATTTCTGCTCCTTTTTCCAGTGCTTATGTTATCTTTAATTAGGACCCCCTAAAATAAGAATACAAGATTGTCAAACAGTAAAGGTAGAAGGGGTGTCAGACCTATATGCAACTCTGTAGGAAACTTTCCATTTGAGCTAAGGGGCATAATAAAATTGATGGCCATATTTCAAGAAATGCCATCTCCTCCTTGATAGCTGAAAAATGCTTTAGATTGACGTCTGAGGCATAAATGTTTAGAGATCTACCATTTTCTTCTTAATGGATCTTCTTAGTAGATCTGTCCAGGTTCAGTCAATCTTTTCTGTTCTTTCTCCACTATGTTTGGTTGATATTGCAGTTTAGACTGTTGGACTTGATCAAACTGTCCTTTGATTTTTTGTACATCGAAAACTAGGATTCTTTTTTCTTTATTCCTTTTTTCTCAAAATTTTTTGGACACAAAATCACGTATGTACCTAACACTAACCTGGTCCTGTCACCTATGTTTTGAAAATTTGGAAAGTGGGGTATGTGATTGTTTATTGTGAGAACCAAGTTCCAGAAACGCCTACAATATAGTTTTGTTATATGAAGACTTAGTTATAATGCTATCCCCTTTAGGAAGGTTTTTGTAGAATGTTAGAGGAGCATCTTATGCACTAAACTGCTGCCAGTTTTGCCATTCTGGAATTAGTTATGCAGCTCGGGATGATATTTGTAATTTCTGTATTTATGGTTGCCTATGCAAACTCTGTGTATGGATTGCTCAAGGTGTCGCAGTTTTGGGGAGCGTAGCATTGTACTCCCAATCACTAACTGGTGCCTGAACAGCAAACATTGTCAACAAGCTGAAACTAAAGCTCGTCGTCCATGCAACATTACATACAGTAGTGATCACAGTACCAACACTGTCAAGTAATACACTGAACAAAAGACAGTATGACTAAGCAGATTAATCATTCTCCTTTAAACATCAGATAATATATATTATGTTTGACCAACTACAAGGGGCATTTGTCACGACAAAAGGGACGAGTGTGGATGCAGACACAAAAGTGCACAGATTCAGGAGCTCAGAGGCATGAGAGATTCTTAAATTTCTCTCTTTTATGAAAATGATGGTAGAACCACCAGCATGATCAGTCAGAACAGTGTTCGATACCAAGCATCCCTTAAGCTAAAGAATCATATGCTAGCAAAATTTAATCTTATTTCACACAAACATAACCATAGATGTTGTCCAAGTTCAAAGTTATAAACTTGTACATCAGATCAAAGCACTTCTTCGAAATCAGATTAAGGGATCATGCAAAATCAGGTCAGAACCTCACCAAAGGCAACCACGACAAGGAGACAAATTAAAGTTTCGGCATTTTGTCTATATACTCTCTCACACGAAAAGATAATTTTTAACTGCTATCCAACAGCATGATAAACTAGTGCTGATTGTATCACCAATTCAACATCACAGATGCATCAGAAGCTACAATCCCCATGACTCAAGCCTCTCAAATATCCATGTACGACTCATTATTAATACACCCCTATGCTGCCAAAGCCTACCAGTACTTCTTATAACACTCAACAAACTGAATCAGTTCCCAGTGATTACCAAGCACTAAAGTAAATTATACAAGTCTACATTCGGGTAGCGAATAAAGCAAGCTATGATTTATAAAGCCTAATCATTCTACGGCTTAATCCTCTAAAACCACTCTCTAACACTCAGTTTAAAAAACAACAAAATGCTACAGTCCTTTAATCTCATCCATGTAGTACCCTAAAGGGACTGTAAAACTCCCCAAAAAATATCAAATCTAAATGCACCATACATGTTCATTTCTGACTATGTAAACCCAAATCACCAACTAACAAAAAATAATTACCCAAAAAGAACTCAAAATCAGACAAAAGTAAACAAAAGAAAATTTTCAAAAAATTAGAGAAAAATAGAAAAATAATAGAGAATAATACCTTAAGATACTTAAGCTTCAGATTTCCATAGACGACTCCAAACATGAAGGCTGAAGCACGAGCCACCTGCCACCAGTTATACGAAAACGAAAAAAATCCAAATTAGATCAGACATCAATGAAATTGTGAGAAATTAAAGCTGGCGGAGGTAGATGGTTTACCAAGGCGAGAGTGCTGGTGCCGGAGTAGGGTCCAGGAGGAGGCGACATTTGCTGCTAATCGTTGAAATCGAAGAAAGAATAACTGCCCCAAATCTAAGGTCTCTCTCAGACTCAGAGCCCTAATTTTCGTCGGACACCAATTTGGAAATTAGAAATGTTGGGGAGATGGGCGAGGGCTTCCCTTAGCTCCTGCATTATTCAGTAAGGAAAAGGCCCAAAAACGTAACTCTTTTTGCAGGAAACCACCAACCAAAATTTACATATAGAAAAATTACAGAGTATAACCTGTTCATCGACGACATCGATATCTGCGAGCATGCGGCTGGATTTCTTACCGGAATTGCCTAATTCGTTTGCTAAGAAATAATTTCTGGAGAATCCGAACTCGTCCTCTTCAATGTCATGTTGTTCAATTTTCTGGTTTTGACGAACCTAAACCTGATGATGAGAGGGAAAGAGTAGGGGCGACGGGACGGCGGAGGTAGGGAGCAGAGGAGAGGAAAGTGGCCGAGAGAGGCAGAGGGCAAAAATTTAGGCAACCGAGAGAAATCAATTTAGGGCAAAAATTTATCATGCAATTACATACCTTCAATGGGAAAGTAAGGGTAGTTTGATTGCGGAGAGATTCAACAGGAAAAACTCTGCGGGAAAGCAAAATTTTGGCCAAGAGTTTTGAGAGACAGTTTGCCGAGAGAGAGACTTTGTGCGAGAGATAAAGAAGAAGCAAAATTTCACTGGGAGGCAAAATGAAGTTTTGAGATTTCACTAAGTGTTTTGGCAAAGGAATCTTCCGCCAAAATCCAACGACGTCGTTTTGTGTTTTAATTTTTTTTGGTGTATCTCACATTTTCATAAGTGTCATAATAGGGAGTCTAAAGGTACATTATTATTTTTATATCAAATAAAATAAAAAAAATTAGAGTATATATTATTGAGTTGATAACTTGTGTCATGATAGAAGTTTTATAATGGCACAAACCAGCAAGTGTCCTTATAGATATGTCAGAAAAGATCATTTTTGTTGTAGTGTCTGGAACTTGAGCTCAATGTTCTTACATCGTTCTTGATAGCCCTGCTGCATTATACGCAGCTGAAACAAGTAAAGTGCATAAACAATCTAAGAAAGAGGGCAGAGTTTTCATTAGCAGCCCTCTCAATATGGCTCGAGATTTAAAAAAGTAGTGCATAAACAAGAATAATTTTGAAATAAATATAATGTTTTAGCTTTCCTCGAGTATCAAAGAAAATTGGTCGGAAGTAGGGGTGTAATCGAACCAAGTCGAACTCGAGTGCTATACTCGAGCTCGACTCGACTCGACTCGACTCATAAACACCAAAGCTCGAGCTCGATCGAGCCCAAAAAATCGATACTCGAAACTTGACTCGAAGAATTTCCTTTAGGCTTGAGACTCGACTCAATAAGGCTCGACCTTTAATCGAGCCTTATCAAGTCGAGCCTTATCAAGCTTTTTGACTCGATTTGACCAAAAAACCAGATCAAAGGTGACGTTTTGGGAAGATTCAAAGGCACGCAAGTAGCTATCAACTAGAGTAAATGAGGCATAAAATCTATGATTCATCGATACAAATACAACCAAAAGTATCCACATTCTACCTCCCATAGTTAGCATCTTTAACACCCCTAAAAATCAGATTCACCACAAAGAAGAATAGAGAAGAAAAAAGGGAAATTCCCACTTGCTGGATTGATGTCAATGAAACTTTCAAATTCAGCAATTACCCACCAACGGTAGGTGCCCACAAGAGCAGCAAAAACTGGATGATTCTAATTCCTCGGACCATAGTTCCTAAGTGTGCTGCGAAAGTACCCAAACTAACCAAAATTCCCCACAAAATTCCAAAACTCAGCAAAACATGAGCTGAGCCACCAAATTGAGAGACAAACAATTATGTCAAACACCACAATATCACTAATTATCTCAAACAGCCACAATATCCCAACTACCACAAGCTCAATTCAAGAAACCAATGCCAAGATCTATCCAGAAATTCCTTCGGCATTGCCTTCTAATCTTGAGCAACTCGTTGAATGTCTAGTGCCACTTTGCATTTTCTTGTCAACGATTCTGCCCGACTGGATTCAGAAGACATGAAGGTAGTAAGACATCCAAAACAACAAAGTGTGGTCTAAGAAGGAGCAGAAAAAGAAAAAGAATAAGCATGTGAGGTTGCTCAAATCTATAATCCAAATAAAAGCCAATCACAATTGTTGACTTTTGAGTTCCTTATATACTATAGCTGTATCACCTATGCTGACACCAAAAAAAGCATCAGGGAGCTACGTGCAACATTTCATATCTAAGGGGAGCTTCTAACAATTGTGCTAAACCTCAAGGAGGCATGAGAAGCCAAAGTTAGCAAGCAAAGTACACTACCTTCATGAATGGCAGAATATTGTTAAAAAAAAAAATCATGAACAATTGGTGATATCATTTCTAAATTGAGGTAGACATTATGACATGAACAATTGGTTACATTAAGCGACCCAACACTTCCGCAAGAACAAAAACTGGACAAAAATGGCATGATGACGAAGAAGGCAGACAGAAAACAATTTTTGAGAGCCATGCGGAATATTCGTTACTGTAAAACGAACAGAATAAGCAAGTAATAAATTTTCTGTTTGGTACTATGCTGCGGAATCAAGTGCTTATATAGGAATTAATTTAGTCACTCTTGAATTTTTTTATTTTTTTTTTACTGTATAAAAAAAAACATTTCATTCATTCATTCAAATCTCCAATTACAGCTTTACCCAAAGATGCAGGGAAATCATTCCACCGTACAATTCTACCTACTAATCCAAGAGAAAGGTTTGAAACAAACTATTTAAGCAGCTAAGTACTGCTATGGAAGCATGGATAGTCAATAAACCCCTATTTAGAGAACAGTTCAAAAATGATTTTTACAGCACCGAGGCACAGTCCAAGAAAGTTCGACAAAGCAAATCATCAAGCAAAGGATACCACAAGAGCTGCGGCGAAAATTACCAAGACACCAACTTTAACAAACTCAGAGTAACCAGATGCGGTAATCAATCATACTACATTAGAGCAGAGGCAGACATACCAGTAACCAGATGCGATGGCGATGGCGATGGAGTCTCACAGATGCGGCGAGCAACGGCGTCGGCGACGAACGAGAGACTGAGAGTGATGGAGTGAGGGTTTAGATCTAAATCAGTCAGAATCAGTGGTTGGTAAAGTGAATTTTTTGGCGAGGCTTTCTTCGAACAGAGAAGAAAGTATTTTCTTCCTTTTTTTAGACATTTTTTCATTTTAGGTCTTTTTACAATTATGTTATTACTTTTTTGCCATTATAGGATTTTATTATAAAGAAGAATATATTGTAAATTCCATATAACTTATACCCATAACGGTCATTTTATAATTATAATACATATATATTATTTAAATTATAAATATATTATTTAAATAACTCCGGCTCGTCGAGCTACTCAACGAGCCTCGAGCTGGGATATTTCGACTCGAAACTCAACTCGATTTTCATTCGAGCTACTTGAAACTCGGCTCGAACTCGGGTTGACCGAGTTCGAGCCGAGTCGTTGACCGAGCTACTCCCGAGCTACTCCCGAGCTACTCGCGAGTAGCTCGGCTCGCGTACATCCCTAGTCGGAAGGGCATGCTAGGTGCATTAGTTTTTTTTTTTTTTTTTTGGGAAAAGAAAAGTTTAAGTGTTTACATTTGAGGTCGTCATCGTGGGATGGGACATTTCTCGGGACAAGTATCTTTTTCTATTTTTTCATCGGGACAAGTATCTATTCTTACTAATTGAGCTTACACGAGCTGGTTGCTAAGAACATTAATTAATGAAAGAGAATGTAAACTTAAGTTGCTGTCCCAAAAAAAGTAAAGTAAAAGAAGGCATGGGTAAAAGAAGGCATGCTCTCGGAGTTTTAATATTATGATCAAGCATATTATAATTTTAAATTTGTTGTATAAGTTGATTTTTTGATCTATGTATCCGTGTCATGTTCTGATGTATTTGCTGTCATTCGTGCAAATACCAGAATGAAATTATTCCTTTTATAAAAAAAATAAAAAAGGAAGGCATGGGTATTAGTTTGTGAGGCAATGTAAATAATTTGATTGTGTACATTTATGAATACATATTTTATAAAATCAATACATATGTCCTTTACGATGAATAGTTTAAACATAACCTCTCATTATTATTTAATCAAAGGCTGCCCGTTTCCCTACTGTTCCTAACAACTTAAAAAATAGAATGAAGGAAGAAGCACTGCTCTTCGGATTTTAAAATTGACTTAAGTTATGGCCCCAAAAAATAAAATAAAAGAAGTCATGTTTATTAATTGGGATAATTTCAAATACCTCCCCTGAGGTTTCTGACAGTCTCACTCTCCTCGCTTGTAGTTTCAAGAATATCACAAACCTCCCCTGTCAGAATTTAGGTCTCATTTCTTACATCATCATGGCCAAAAAACTTAAATATCCTCACAAGTCAACTAATATTTCATGATTATCGGGACAAATACATTCCAACTCACGTAATTACTTTTTTTTACGCTATATTTAATCTACCTTTTACATCTATACATAGTCAAATAACTAACACCTAACATGATATACATTTTTTTAACACCTAATCATTCCAAATTTATGCATACCATTACACTACCTTTTATAAATATACACAGTCAAGTAACTAATATCTAACATAATATATATATTTGTAAACTGATTGTACCTTATAGATCACCCCTTGTAAGGTGTTTATAGGCAAATTAGTATTAGTCATATAGATAAAATTACATACCCACTGCAACTTATAAGGAGATACACAAGTGGGTCAAAACACCAATAACCATTCCAAATGTATACATACCGTTGCACTATGCATATTGCAAATGCATATTGCTGCGATGACTAATTGCAATATGCATGTGAACAAATAACTACATGTTCAACAATTTCTATGCATCGTACTTGGTCGATAACATGGTGTACATTTTTTCAACCAGATTGTACATTCACTAAGTATTTATATACATGCTACTTATTGAAGTAAATTACCTCTCTACTAAATATTTAAAACACTCTCATAAGCACTAATAGTTGATTTAATATGCAATTGGAACAAATAACAATCTAATAAAAGCTTTTGATATAATATTATTGATGAATAAAATATTGTATATAAAATTAACCCTTTTTTCTAATTTATTTTTTATTTTTATTAGTTTTCATTATTTCACTAATATAACTTGTACACTTACCTCAGGGGCATTTATGGAAACAAAATTTCCTTTCTTTCTTGAAAACACTTTTTATGTTCACTTTTGACATCATGGGCTGATTTTGTTACAAAATCCTAAATCTCAGTGGAGGTTTGTGATATTTTTGAAACCACAAGGAAG